TTTATTTTATTGTCTTGTCTGCCCCCAAAATGGGCAAACTGAGGTAGAATTGCAGAAAACAATCCCATTTACAATAGCCACAAAAAGTATAAGATACCTAGGAATAAACCTAACCAAAGAAGTCAAAGACCTCTATAAGGAAAACTATGAAAAACTGAAAAATGAAATTGAAAGTGACACCAAAAAGTAGAGAGATATTCCATGCTCCTGGATTGGAAGAGTTAACATAATCATAATATCAAGGAGCCAGCAGATGACATAGTAGTTATATCGTTAGACTTCCACATAGCTGACTGCAGTTTGACTCCCACACCTGGTGGCTTGGAGATCACCCAGTGGCTTGAAAACCACACTAGGCACATGTGAGTGTGTGCCCAAGATCTGAGGAGGAGAATGGAAGAAAAGGGATTCCAGTGTGGCCATCCTCCTTTAGGGGTGATTTCTCACTTTCCCTCTCGCTGTCTCTCTCTCTCTCTCCAGTGAGGGCACATGTCCTAAGGCAAAAGTCTCTTTAAAAAGTCAATTCTAACCAAATTAATTTATAAATTTAATGCAATCCCAATCAAATTACCAGAGATATTCTTCACAGAATTAGAAAAAAATATCATCAAACACCTTTCTGGAATCACAAAAGACCCTGTATTGCCAAAGCAATACTGTGAAATAAAAGAGTGGAGTAAGAGGCATCTCACTCCCAGGCCCCAAAATATATTACAAAGCTTTGGCAATCAAAACAGCATGGTACTTGCACAAAAACAGGCATGTAAACCAATGGAATAGAATAGAGATCTCAGAAATAACCCCCAAAACATACAGTCAACTGATTTCTGACAAGGGCATAAGACAATCCAGTGAGTAAAAGAAAATCTCTTCAGCAAATGGTGCTGAAAAAAAAAAAAAAACAAGATATCCACCTGCAGAAAAATGAAACTAGACCCCTATATCTCACCATTAACAAAAATTAGCTCAAAATCAATCAAAAATCTAAACATAATACCTCAAACTGTAAAACGACTGGTGGAAAGCACAGGGGAAGCTCTGGGAGATATTGAAGTAGGCAAATACTTCTTAAAGAAGACCCCCAAAGCACAGGCATAACCCCAAAAATAGACAGGTAGGATTACATCAGATTAAAAATCTTATACACAACAAAGGAAACAATAATTAGAGTGATTCAACAACCCTTAGAATGGGAGAATTTATTTGTAAACTATACCTCAGATAAGGGACTGATAACCAAAATATATAGGGAACTCAAGCAGCTTAACTGAAAAAAAAAAAATTCAACCCAATTAAAAGGTGGGCAAATGAGCTGAAAAGACAACTCTCCAAGGAAGATATATGAACAGCCAAAAAGTATATGAACAATGCTCAACATCCCTTACCATAAAAGAGATGCAAATCAAAAACTTAATATTATCTAACCCCGAACCCAGGAGAGGCAAAGGGAACAAGCCTTCTTCAAGACACAGCTTCATGGATCCTGCAAACTAGCCATTTTGGGGAAACAGGAATCAAGATTTCCCACTGATAATCCGGCCTCCAGCACACAAAACTCATGTAGTAGGAAGACCCCTTTCAGTCCTCCTGTCTCTGTACCTGTCTTTGTCTCTCTCTACCTCTGTCTCTGTCTCTGTCTTATCTCTTTTTAAAATTTTTGCTTTTTAGAATTTCATGTGGCGTGCTTGAGCGGTTTTCCAATTTTTGGTTTTTACTGAAATTTTTTTAAATATTAATTTTTTTAGTTTTATTGAAAAGATTTTTATCTTCCTCTTTTCTTCTCTTTTTCTGTTTCTTGTTTGTTTATTGCTGTTGTTACTGTTGTTTCTCTCTTTCTCTTTCCTTTTCTGTACACTCCTCGACGCTCAGATTGAACTTCCAAGTTTGGGAAGAAACTGGCCATCAACCAGATGACTAGAAATTGCTGCAGGACCACAAGAAATATGGGAAAGCAGGAAAATACCTCTCCTCCAAGGAAAAAGAATAACTCCTCTTCATCCACACACAGTTCAGTGGAAATCATGGAAATGTCTGATAAAGAATTCAGAACATTCATAATGGCAAAGCTAACAGAGATGGAAGAGAA